TATTACGGGCAAGAGTGGCCTGAAGTATTGCGCGGGAATTTTTTTTTAAGTATGTCCCCACATGAATTGTGCGCCAAACATTTTGGACTAAAACGTTTACAACACATGCATGTGATATTACTCACAATAGCCAATAGCATTACATGAAATACGTTTCATAAAATCACATGCCACCGTGTGTGGCATTGGTATGTATAATCGGTCAGTAAAAAAAATGTGATACCTTTTTACCAAAATGGATACAGCCAGGTGCAGCAGTTGCAATCCTCATTACTATCAAATATTTTCTGCTTACATTTTAAAAAATGAAGCGTTAAAATTTTTAAGAATACACAGTGTATTGCCTTCTCCGGTAATTTAGTGTTTCAACTGGTAATTGTTGAAGACCGCGACGCACCCTCGCAGAGACTAAGTCGAAAAAAATGATGTTTTTCTGCATGAAATTCTATGATTTCATCGATTTTCGGCGTTGTTTCTTTTGCGAATGAATCGTTCAGGAGATCGAGTACCATTTCTCCATCGACGATCTTGATTTGATAGTCCCGTTAGCAGGGGAGGGCATGAATTATATCAGGGAAATTATGGGGTAAAACAAGCTTAAATAAGAATAACGATCAAAAATGCGTAAAACTAGCACAAAAATCGGCCAATGAAACTCTACGGATGTAACCGCCATCTTTGAAAGTTTACGGACTGACGCGAAATAAATAAAAAAAAATCTACGGGAACCCAACCCACATTTCGGCAAAAAATCTACGGGAATTCACACGTTCCAACCCCCAAAAACGTATTGACCAATAAACCAACCAACCTAATATATCAATATAAATTGCCGTGACTAGGCGTGCCCTTCGGGCACTGCCCGAGGGGAGGGCTGATGGGGGGCAAGCCCCCCAACACCCCCCAGGACACATTCTCTCCACCATGGTATGTACGGCAAGACAGAGCTGCATTCACACCGTAAAATAATAAACCAAATACCTTTATATCCGGAAACGTGAAACTTTTGTTTCTTTGTACTGTTGAGATTGCTTCGATTTTAATCACCTTTTTCGTCCTTTGGAGCTCTTGATGGGCTCAGATATAAAACTGGGATGGTTACTGAAGTCGAATTATTCTTCGATGCCACTGTAAAGGTCTTAAAAAAAAAACCCAGAATCAACACAACACTGGAAACGCAACATTTCTCACCGGCTTTCAATCTCGAAATGAGCGGGTTGGTGAGCTGTCAACCTGTGGCTGGCGCAAGAAAGTGTGAAACACTCGATGCGCAGGATTCGATATGAGGGTATAGATAAATATAAAAAATATGCAATTGAAGTATAATAACATTACTAAAAGACCTTAAAGGTATAAATGCGTACCAGCAGACACAGATAATTAGCCAAATATCGTTTTGACAAGCGCGTAATGATACACGGACTAGTTCGTGAACGCAAAAATGCGTTCGTGGGTCAGTGTCGTGTTTTTCCTCGCAAGGTAAACAAGCTCATCAACTTTGAATTTGAAAGGCGGCCGCGCGTTATATTTTCCTCATTTAGCGGTGACTATAAGGCCGGTGCATCTTAAACTATACGCTATCCCCTTCTATTTTTCCCGCTCTATAAGATGGCGGTGTCCATTTTCCTCTATCTACGCGCGTCGCAGTCTTCAACCTCTACCTTTTAACTTTTTGTTTTCTACTACAATTTGTAAACACAGTAATAATAATACTCTGGTACAATTAAAATATTTATTGATATATTTATAAAATTTTCAGGAAACTTAGAAAAAGCATTTTCATATACAAGTTACTTTTGTTCACAATCATAATTCAAAGCATTTGTATTGAGCGGCAATCAGGCAAAAATTAAGCCCCGATTTAACCACACAATTGCAAAACATAATTGTATAAATAAAACATGGCTCTTGTTCCCGTGGACTTTAAAACTACACAATTTAAAGCTTTAGTGTTTTTGTTCTGTATTGAAGTGTAAATCACAAATTCTTCCTAAAAATAGTGCAGAACTTAGCCTTACACGCTTATGCAACTTGACATCTGGAAGTACGAGTTACGTCACACGTCAAGCAGTCAGATGCGACAGAGAACCACAACATTACAGCGCGAAACAGCGAAGGAAAAATCCATTCCAAAAACAATCATTTCAAAAGTCAGAGGCTAAAACTTGAAATTTACCATGTAAATTTCCAGCCAGCCGCCTTTTAGATGAAAAATAATATATGCAAACGATAGAGCGAGTGATTCTAAGACCCTTATCTCCTAGGAACTTCAACTCAATAATAACGAAGTTATTAAACGCGCAAGTGTCTGTGAGCCCATTATGAAGTACTATCTCTATTTTAAAAATCGCCATCCGATAGCCTTTCCTTCCTTTTTGTAAACAAAACAATGATGCCGTTTCATTTTTGTACAATTATTCTAATCACCGAAATTCGTGCGTAGATAAAGCCCACATAACGGTACACGAAGCAGCTTTTGTGTCTGTATCAACATATATGACATATATGATATAATACTCACATGATATTCAGTATTTACAATAGTAAATAAATTTCTTGCTCTGCGCAAACCAATGTGCCTCACCCATATTACGAGCGAGAGAGGCCTGAAGAAATGTGCGGGATTTTCAAAAGCAAAAAAGTTATTGCATGAATTGCGCATGAAACATTTTGAAATATTCATTCTACACTAAATGCACAACATTGTCATGAAAGCCAATAGTATTACAGGAAATTCTATTGACCAATCACGAGACACCGTGTGTGGAACAGGTATGTATGTAGAGTAAAGCGAGTATAATAAATCTTTTGCCATCATGGATCGCAGGTGTGTCAGGTGTAACCCTCACTACTATAGTGTAAAATCTGATTATTTTGAGAAAAATGATGATGCTATAGAATTCCTGAGAGTACACGGTGTTTTGCCAAGGGCGGTACATTATCCACACTGCGATTTACCTTGCAAATACCGTTAAGATCGACATACGTGCTATTGTGGCAGATGGAAAAAACAAAATGTCATAAAAGTTGCATTTTTTCAATCAGCAATTACAGCGGCACGTTTCTGCAGGGAACCCATTTGACACCATATAAAGTAGTTTTATTTGTTAATCATTGGTTGCAAAAGTATTGGGATCATGAAACTGTCACGAAATGTATTGGCATGTCTAGACCTACTAGCGTAGATTGGAGTAATTTTTGTTCTGAAGTAACCCACAATTAGTGGTTACAAAATCAAAATTCAATAGGAGGTGCCAGGGTAATTGCTGAAATTGACGAGACGCTGCTCGTGCAGCGCAAGTATAACAGGGGCAGACAAGTGAGCCATGTGTGGGTCTTTGGGGGTAATGAGCGTGACAGTAAAAAGAAATTCATTGTGCCACTCCTGGACGGTGACAGGAGTGCCGACACGCTCATACCCCTAATTAAGAAATATAGAAAACCAGATAGTATGATATACAGTGATGGATGGGCTGCCTACCGAAACCTAAAACATCTTGGCTACAAACATCTGAGTATTAATCATTCCGAGAAGTTTGTAGACCCACACTACCCACAAGTCCATACACAGAACATTGAAAGATTGTGGCAAGATCTCAAAGAGTGGATAAAGAGTCCCAGAATTAGATCGGAATCATGTATGAAAGGGTAAGACAGGAACACCATGTTTAACTAGCAATTATTGGCAAGGTAGCGATTATACTGAATGACAAACGGCGACAAATCCTGGCCAATGAAAACTTGAGGAAAATGACATCAGTATTTCTTGACCATTCAGAACTCACTATTTTCGGAAAGTGTGCAGCAGGAGTCAGGGACTTCGTCTCTGATGGGTGTGGTCCTATCGTTTATAGGCACAATAAAATCACAGAATAGGGATGAAAATCACAGAAATGTCAAACTGTAGCAAACTTAGCATGTATGTCCACTTGGTCCTACGAAACAGTGCAGGCTTCTGACTAAAAATGACGGGAAAATATCCCAGCAGTCTCTCGATCCAACTATGAACATTGCATGAAATGACAGACAATTATTGACCACAAGCGCGAGTGTATGCTGGACGAATAGCCAAAATGTTATAAAATCCGGTGCCGGAACAATATCCACGGCGTATTTAATAATTTATGTAATACCATTCTAGTTCTGGATAAGTAGTTTCCCCTTCTAATAAAAGATTTTACTAAAATCTAATATCAAACTCGTAACTTTGAATCAATAAGTTTACTTTTCTAACAATTTACTGACAAATTATATGAAATACATCGTCTGAATTTGATGTCAACAAAACTCATTCTTGTTTCATTCTCCTTATTTACAAATATTAGAAATCAAAATGACCTACATAAATCTCACTAACTTCATCTTCTAATTTCATCTTCTCTTACTCTTTGTTGACGTCGTTATCCTTTTTCATCAATTACAACAAAATGAAATAATCACCAATATAAACCTCTCCGATCAGCTGATCCCAAATATCGGCTGTTTCCACCGGCGCCCTCATCAATCTGCCTTAAAACACCTATTGCCAGCTTCATTAACAAAAAGAATACTTTCTCCTCTTATAACAACAACCAAAGAGATATACTAACAAATAAATCAGAAGGGAAGACACTCCCAAACGGTGGAAATTTAACACCTACCAAAATACCGAACCTTGCAGCAGCCATGGTGGAGATAGACCGGTGTTGCGACTCCTTCTCCGAGTAACTGGAAGGAGAACTCACTCGATGGTTCTCCTTGTTCTTTTTTTAATGATAGAAAATGTATTCTATTGATTTAAGTTTATTTGATGAACATTTTAGTTTCTAGCTTTTATTTTATTACTATTGTCTATATTCGGTTACTTTTTCATATAATCAGTATTAAGGAATATGCTAAAGATACTCATAACAATATATCAAGGAACATATTTCTGATATTTCATATTTTCTTTCTCTAAAAATGCAAACAAAATGTTCCTCGTATCCTCCAGGACAAAATAGTAAAACTGACAAAAAGGCCCAGGGTTCATGTGTATCTCGGATGTAAACAAGAGGGACCACCAGCAAGCAAGTTTTGTGAAGGAGGCACTGATAGAATTTTTCTAATTCACGGTATAACTGTCTTTCGGTGTTAATTTATTGCAGGGGTGACTGATGATTAAGATGTGGTTGTATTATCTTGATATGTCGCTTGGCGATTTTGTTTGTTATTTTTTTATTTGGTAGCAATCAGTTGTAAGGAACATGTGATGACTGATGTGTATGAATTATGCCGACTCAAGGATTTTTGGTTGAAAGTATAAATGATATAAGAGAATTGTCCACTCTTGAAAATTACGTGTACTTTGTATTTTCTTAACATGATAGCATTGTCATTCTTTAACTTTGCTGTACAACGATGAACCAGACGTAGTAATTGACTCTTTGGTGTTGAATGTTATATTGTACTCCAGGATTTTTAGAATTTACAAAAAAATAAGATATTGCTGATAATAGGCTAAAACAATAGGGATACATTTGTTTTCTAGCTGACATTATTATGTGTGAGTATGAACAATGTCATTCATAATGACATATTGCCATCATGACTTTACGCAATATAGGTGGTGAGATGTCCATAATATGTGCACAAATTACACAAACTGTGAATTGTGAATAGGTTACATATGCAACTAATGATTGCTGTCATTTTTTAATGAAATATCTGCATGGGAATAATGTTGACAAGTTGAAGGCACCATATTTCCATGCACTATAAATTGAACACTTAATGTGTGATGTTATGCCACATAATGGGAATTCATTTGCCTCAATAACTTCAAGATTTTCAAAATGTATAAGTCAGTGTATCTATAATTGGCTTGATGACTTGTTATTTTTCACAGAATTAAATTTTGAGATACAATTTCTCAGAGTACAAGTGAATAGCTTTCAGTCATGTTTCATATAAAATGCACACATATGATTTTTATTGCCCTAAGGTATTAGATAATGTGGTAGAGGTTACAGACATGGATGCGCATAGATAGAGGGAAATGGACACCGCCATCTTATAGAGCAGGAAAAATAGAAGGGGAAAGCGTATAGTTTAAGATGCGACGGCCTTGTAGTCACCTCTAAATGACGAAAATATGATGCGTGGTTGCCGCTCAAATTCTAAGTCCAGCAACGTTTAACTTTCCATGAATAACAAAACACTGACCACTGAACTTACTGCGATGTCCAAACTAGTTTGTGTGTTACTACGTACTTGTCAAAACGATATTTGGCTGATTATTAGTGTCTGCTGTAACACTTATGCTTTTAAAGTCTCTTATTAATGTTACTGTACTTCATTTGCATATTTTAATATTTATCTGTACCCTCATTTAGAATTGTCCGCATCGAGTGTTTCACACTTTCTTGCTCCTGCTGCCAGACTGACAGCTCACGGTGCACTCATTTCAGGGTAGAACGCCAGTGAGAAATGTTGCATTTCCAGTGTTGTGTTGATTCCGGGTTATTTTTAAGACTTTTCTAAAGGCATCAAAGAATAATTAGACTTTAGTAACCATCCCAGTTTTATATTTGGGCCCATCAAGAGCTCCAAATGACAAAAAAAAAAAAAGTGATTAGAATCAAAGCAATCCAGACAGTACAAAGAAGCAATGAGAGTTTGATGTTCCTGGATATAAAAGTATTTGTTTTACTATTTTTCGGTGTGAATGCAGCTCTATCTTGCCGTACATACCAAGGTGGAGAGAATGTGTCCTGGGGGATGTTGGGTAGCAGAGCCCCCATCAACCCTTCCCTCAGGTAGTCGGGCATGCCTAGTCATTCCTACTCCAATCACCTCTGATGTCATGTTCCCCATTCTGAACAGTGTCACCATTTCTTCTCTCATTTCATTTTTGGTTCTTCTTGTTAAGCCTTCTCTAATGCTGCTGCTGTTTTTTTTTTTTTTTTTTTTTTTTTGTTCTCTCTTTTTTTTTTCTTTTTAATACTAAGTTCAGTTGGTTGTAGAGACACAGGATGATGACAAAAAATGGTAAGAAAACGCACATTTGGCCTAATGTTTGTAACATAATTGCCTCCCTATGTCTTTCCCCATGACCACCCCACAACTAACAAGTGTCAGATTTACCCAGTCTCAAAATGAGTAGTGTTGGGAAATGTCAAGTACAACAGGTGCTATTGGGCAGGTTCCCGATACCCAACCCCTTCCCTGCTTTCCACATCTCTTGATTTTAGATTTTCTTAACCCTACAATGGCAGGGCCAGAATTTTCTGTGATCATATTCATTAAGGCAACTACGAGCAACCAGCAGGTTGTTCACCGTGTACAGCCGGGCTGCCCACTTGCTCACTAGAGCGAGTCATAATGCACGAAGGGTAGGCTTTCCATAATGGTTATAACTGTGCCCATCATTAAAAGGTTAATGAAACATTCAGCTGGAATAGTAATATTCTTCAACTAACATTTGTTTTACTTGAGATATGACAATGAAAAATATATTTTCTTGGTGTAAAATTCAACTCTTCAAATGCCTCCAGACAGAATTTGCCAAGGGAAATATTAAAAATCTTGTGTTTATTTGCAACTGGGTTACCAGACAAGCTTAAGATTTTGAGTTCTTTGGGGTTAATGGTGCACTGATCAGGATTCCATAACCTGTGTTTTTACCTCTGTATATGCAGTATACAAGTAAGCCTATTACAGGTTGTATCCTCAAATTCTTTATTTAATTGGTTAATATTATCATATTGTTTTTACAGATGACTGAACAGAATGAAGAGGTCAAGAATGCTGTTTTAAAGAGCCGTGATAAAGGAGGGACAGGCACTATGGCCCCTGGCCCAAGTGGTAGCATGTCTGTACGTCTGCCTTCCTTCAGAGGGCCTCGTGACCTCACTCTCTCAGCATCCTCTGCATCAACGCCTATTAAACCAACACTTATAACTAGACCTAGAAAGACATTTTCACCAAATATTCCTGTTAGAAGAGAAAAAAATGAAAAAGTTTTGTAAGTTGGTTGAGTTTAGTTAAAGATGAATTATTATGCCAATTTTTTTTTTCTCTCTCTCTCTCTGT